AATCAAAGCGGTCCTGAAGCTGAATACAAATATATGCTGAATACAAATGTAAAAGTACAAACTGCAAATTATAGAAAGTGGTGCCAATTAATGGAGTGATATGTATAAGAACACTATTGGAAAACATGATATGCTTTTATCTTTAGCAGAAATATAAAAAAATAAAGGAAAAATTTTCTTGCGGGAGAACTCTAAGTTAAAAATGACATCACTGGTACATGGAAACTATGTAAAAAAATGTGTTTATAGTGAGGTAATTTTGGGTACATGGACAAAGAGGGGGGGGGGGGGGGGGTAAAGGTTGGCATATAAAGGTAAAAATGACTGTATACAAGGTACTGCTAAAAGAAATATAGTAAAATATAGTAAAATCAATATGGGTATGAAATTAGGTAGCTCATATGTTCGTAATCAAGTAAATGCAATAGATGCATAGTAGCATGTATTCATAATTGAGTGAACACAATATATACGTGGTAATAGTGAAAGTTAAAAAACAAGTGTTAAAAGAAGACAATAATGTATATAAAAGAAATATCAGTACATAACCGTAAATAATGGTTGAGCGAAAAAAACAGGAGGATCCTAGTTCCAGGGACTACTAGGTCATACTTCTTAGATAATGCTATGGATTTCAAGATTCTCATTGAGACCATTGGGGGTCATAAAACCTAACTTGTAGATCCAGAATGTCTCTCTCTTACATAGACGGGCTAGTCTTTCGTTGGCAATAAATGTACCCTTTGGAATATGTTCGATTGCTAAGACCTCAAGAAGACTGAAATTCTTTTGATGAGAGTGCAAAAAGTGCCTGGGGACACTATGCTTATCGCAGCCCTCTCTTATAAGTCTTCTATGCTCTCCTATGCGTTTGCTTAGAGGGCGTGTGGTTCGCCTACATATAGGAGCTTACATGGGAATGTGAGGACATATATGACGTGGTCAGTTGCACACATAATAAACTGACAATAAATGTGATAGCTGTTGCCCTGGGAGTCCAACACCTATGATCTGCCATGGGTGATGGACTGACAGGTGAGACAAACTCTTTTGTTGCATCTATAGATACCTGTTCTGTCCACAAATGTAGGAAGGGGGCCATTATCTATGTAGGTGGATGGTGACATTTTGCTTGGGGCTAGAATATTTTTAAACATACGGGCTCTCTTAAAAGTTACTTGTGGGGCACGTGGGAAAATAGGTGCTAGTCTAGGATCTCATCATAAAATGTGCCAGTGTTTGTGAATGATGTTGGTAATGTCACGATGTGATGTGTGGAAACCAGTGATAAACCACACCGAGTTGGACTGGTCATGGGCCTGAGTATGTATTCGGTCTTTCAATATGCTGTGTTTGGTGTATGGTCTGGGGAGGCATATCCATGGAGGGACGTACAGACCTCTACAGGCTAGACAATGGCACCCTGACCACAATTAGGTATCGGGATGAAATCCTTGGACCCATTGTCAGACCCTATGCTGGTGCAGTGGGTCTTGGGTTCCTCCTGGTGCACAACAATGCCCGGCCTCATGTGGTGAGAGTATGCAGGCAGTTCCTGGAAGATGAAGGAATTGATATAATTGAATGGCCCCCAAGCTTGCCTGACCTAAATCCAATAGAACACCTCTGGGATATCATGTTTCGGTCCATCTGTTGCTGCCAAGTTGCACCTCAGACTCAGTGATGCCCTGGTCCAGATCTGGGAGGAAATACCCCAGGACATCATCCATCATCTCATTAGGAGCATGCCCCGACATTGTCAGGCATGCATACAAGCACGTGTTGGCCATACAAACTACTGAGGACCATTTTAAGTTGCTGCAATGACATTTCAGCCAAATGGACTCGCCCGCTGCATCATTTTTTTCCCTTTGATTTTTGGAGTGTCTTTGAATTCAGTCCTCTGTAGGTTGATAATTTTCATTTCCATCAACCAATGAGGCATCCTTACGTTACTAACACATTACCCATCCATATCAGAATAGATATCCAGCAGGAGATTTTTCCCCATTGAAATCTGATGTGTTCTGAAAGCGCTCCTTTAATTTTTTTCAGCAGTATATATATATATATATATTGAAGTTGAATATAATGTATTATAATCTAAAGTTACAGTTGGGCTTTAGCTGAAGCTTACCAATCCCAATGGTTTTTGTGTACACAGAAATGCCAATGGTTATTGTATATAGCAAGACGCTTATGTTATGGTTGTTATTAAACACGCTTGTCTAACAAAAAAAAAAGATGAAAAATTCCAGTTCTGCAGATTTATTTTCCTGTCTGCCTGTCCACAAAGGATTTTTATTATCAACAATCTTCCATTTGGTTCATTTGGTTCTTCTCCTGTCTTATATCTGTGATAAGCCTGATAAGGTAAATTGTGTAGAATTTTCTGACCTTGTTGGATAACATTCACAGGTTATTGAATAACTTCGCGTATGCCCTTTAACCTTTTTCTGCCCACATAATGCATACGTGGCAAAGAAGGTGGGCTTTAACACCTACATGCTACACATATCATCCATAGATAGTAGCGGTTTCTGTGCTGGGAGCATGCTTACTGGGTACTCACAACACAGTGACGAGCTGTCAAAGACAACTACCAGTCTCTAGTGATGATCAGGACCTGGTATCCACAGGCAAAATGTCAAGGTCCTACCTTTCCTCAGGGCTTCTGCTGCTCCATGTGCTGGCATCCATCTTAGGTGTCTGCAAAGCATTGTGGGATCATTTATGCTTTCAGCCCTCTGCGGCTCCTCCCCCAGGAGGTGGCGGCTTATCACATATAAGTCTGCTGTTTGTAGCTGTCCATTGCATTCGTGTCCTGTCTCTTGCACAGCAACAAGCTCCTGTTTAGCTACTCATTGCTTTCCTGGATACCGACTCGGCTTTGGCTAAGACTCCTCCTGGCTTCTGACCCCGGCTCTGGCGACCATTCTTCCTGGCTCCTGATCCCGGCTCTGGCGACCATTCCTCCTGGCTCCTGATCCCGGCTCTGGTGACGATTCTTCCTGGTTCCTGATCCCGGCTCTGGCGACGATTCTTCTTGGCACTTGATCCCGGCCTTGGCTACGATTTCCGCTGTTGGACTTGCATAGACTCTTGTCTTATTTTTATATTAATAAACCTGCCTTTAATTGCACCTCTTTGTGTGTCTGGCTCCTCGCTCCCTGACACAAAAACATCTACAATGGGAATGTGAGCATCAAAACTGGATCATGGAGCAAATGGAAGAGAGTGGCTTGATCTGATGAATCACATTTTCTTTTACATGGTGTGGTTGGTCAACTGCATGTGCATCCATGGGGAAGAGATAACACCATGATGCACCATGAGAAGAAGGCAAGCCGGCTAAGGCAGTGTGATGCTTTGGGCAATGTTCTACTGGGAAACCTTGGGTCCTGTCATTCATATTGATGTTACTTGACACATACCACCAACCTAAGCATTGTTGCTTATCAAGTACATCCCTTCATGGAAACGGTATTCTCTTATGGCAGTGGCTTATTTCAGAAGAATAATGTGCCATGCCACACTGCAAACGATGGTCCAAGATTCAAGAATGGTTTGAGGAACACAACAATGAGTTTGAGCTCCAACTTTACCTTTACTCTTTGCACAGCCAAACTACATATGACAAGTTTATGTTCTGGGGATTTAAACAAAAAAAACAAAGTCCCCTAGATAGTATACTCCATTAGCAGACAAAAAATAAAAATTTCACTTACAATCCACGAACTTGGATCAGGATATACTGTCAGAGACACCTCTTAATATGGAGTATGATCTCAACAGGCTTTGTCCACAATTACGTTGTAGTCAGTATGAGGAGAGGGTGGAGGGTCAGGTGGAAATATGACTAAAGAGGACACTGAATATATCCAGACACAGGCCATGAATAAGTAGGTACCACCAGTCCTTCTGTATGAGCCCAGGACAGCAGGTAAGCCCAGGCAGTGGGAATCAGATGTGGGCATGGACGGTGATCAGCATAGTGGGGGGTGATAGGTAGTTACTGGAACCAATCCCCTGTATGGCTTTCTCTGCAGCAGCTGAAAGCTGGTTTCTTCTCCTCTCCCTCCTTGACTTTCAGCTGCTTCAGAGAAATCCATACAAGGGATCGGTTACAGTATTTGCCCCTTTGGTGCACCCATCACCCTCCCTGTGCACCATTTGTTTCCCTCTGCTGCCCAGGCCCCCTGTGTGCCACCATCCCCCTTCAGAGCGGCCGGCTTTCTCCCCTCTTTCCCATCGGCAGGTGCAACCACACAACAGGATCCTTCAGCATAGAGAGTGGATGAAGGGTCCAGTAAATATATCACATTTATTAGCCCCTTCCTTTCCTGAATGAACACAATGAGTGATCTGTACTTTATCATTTACTGCATTCATTCATAAGTGTGTTTTTTTTTGTTCTTTGGGAGGGGGGTTGTCAGGTTGGCTGTAGGGGACCCATTGGTTTTTAACAGCAGCCTGGCCTGACATATTTCGGGGCCATGAAAGGGGACGGCTACAAAAACATGTCACTGGAGGTGCTTCAAACTTGCATGTTTTACTGTCACCTCAGCAGGCTCAGTCTGCTCTCATGGGTAGACGACATGAAGGGGTGGAGAGCCAGGTGAAAGAGATCATAAAGGACACTGAATAAATCCTGAAAAGAGGCACCAAAAGTATACCTTCAAATGTGGAAATTATAAGGATGCAAATGTGAGGCACCTTTAATGACCTGTTGCTAGGGTTGTGCCCCTTCATCACAGTAAATTATATATTCAGTGTCCTCTATGGTCTCCTTTTCACCTGGCCCTATGCGCTTTTTTTTAGTGATAGCTACCCAGTAAGCATAGAGGGAACCCTATTAGGATGATCTAATACTCCATCTGAAGAGATGTCTCTGATGATATGTCTGCTCCAAGTTTGCGGATTGTAAGTGCAATTTTTTTTATTGTCCATTAGGGAAGTCTAATCTTCACTAGAGACCTTAGCGGACACTGAATAAATCCTGGCATGTTTTGAGGCCATGCCCTTTACCCTGATGAAGGGGCATAGCCCCAGAAACATGTCAGTGGAAGTGCTTTACACTTATATTTCATGCTGGCTGCCCAGTGCATGAGCGGACTTACAACTCATGGGGTCCCGAGCAATAGGGGAACATGGAGCCTCTGTGAAATAAGCTCAAAAAAAGCCTATGAAAAAGATACAGGGGCATCTCATGGGGCCCCTTACTGACCCTGGGCCCTCAGGCAGTGCCTGAGTTTCCAAATGGTCAGTCCACCCCTGGCCCAGTGAGATCAGAAGGAAATTGTTACCAATTTTAGACATTTACAGAGCTTGCATAGATTGACAATTATTCATCCTAAGAATCAATGAAGCACCTTGCATTTGAAGATTATATTTTTGGGGGTTTTCATGCCTCTATTAATCAAGCCATGTGGAAGAATTTAAACTCCAGTTTATAAAGTCTCACACCTCATTTTCTCTTTATAGTCTTGAACCATGTACAGACACATATTCTGTTTTTTAACAGAATATATCATAAAACACTTTTATTTTTTCAGTTAGTAAAAAAGGTGCTTCTTACTCTCTCCCAATTCAGCACTCTGTGGTTGCCCAGGTAAGTAATGGCCATAGTCCTTGTGAAGACCTGTAGTGTAGAGGAAGAGGGGGGGGTGTTGAAGGAAGAGAGGGGGGTGTTAAAGCAAGAGAAGGGGTGCACTGAAGGAAGAAAGGGGGTGCATTTAAAAAAAGAGAGGGGGTGCATTGAAGGAAGAGAGGCTGTGCATTGAAGGAATAGAGGGGGTGTTAAAGGGAAGAAAAGGGGTACACTGAAGGAAGAGAGGGGGTGCATTTACAAAAGAGAGGGGATGCATTGAAGGCAGAGAGGAGGTGTTGAAGGAAGAGAGAGGTGCACTGAAGGAAGAGAGGGGCTGTTTCAGAGTGAGAGAGGAGGTTCATTGAAGGAAGAGAGGAGATTAATTGAAGAAATAAAGGGGTACATTGAAGGAAAAGAGGACGTTCAATGAAGAAGGAGAGAGGGTGCACTGAAGAATGAGAATGGGTGTTGAAGGAAGAGAGGGGTGCTTTGAAGTAAGAGAGGAGCTTCATTGAAGGAAGAGAGCAGGTTCATTGCTGAATGAAAGAGGTGCATTTGAAGAGAAAGTTCATTGAGAGGAAGTTCATTGAGAGAAGGAGAGGGGTGGTGCATTGAAGGAAGAAGGAGAGGGGTGTGTTAAAGGAAGAGAGAGGGTGTTTAAGAAAAAAAGAAGTGCTTTGGAGTAAGAGAGGCAGTTCACTGAAGGAAAAGAGGAGGTGCACTGAAGGAAGATAGAGGATGTTTCTGAACAGCTCTATTGGAGCACTGAGCAGTGCAGTCAAACTCTGGGGCCCTCATATTTAGACACCCCATACAACTACCATAACAGGAAATTGAAGGTAACACAATAAATGTAGGTTGTTAGTACACTGTCTATCCAACTCCATTTCTGTAGCTTCCATTGGGCTATAAAAAATTTGTGTCTGCATTCGGCAAGGTAGCATGCTAATGCACAGCAAGGCAGAACAGGGAAACACTCATCTCCCATAATACACTAAGACCCTTCCATGTTTTTCTACACATGATATGCATTATCATAGGCATGATGATGAGGAAAGTGGCAGACACAGACACAAGCATAGGATCTATAAACTAATATAGACTCTTCTTAGAACAGGAGGCAACCATTTCAACTACCTGTATTTCATGCTTTCAGCACCTTCTTGTTAAAAAAATATATATATATATCCAGCTTTTTATGAGGTTGGAGCTGTCCGTTAATTACTAAGAAAACTTCTTGTACATCAGTCAGCATGCATCCTTAGCTACAAAGCCATGTTTGGTTGATAGCAGAGGGCCTCAGAATGAGACATACCAACACTCTCTGTCTTGTTGACCTCTGTCAGCTTCTCCGAATCAACAGAAGATAGACTATGGGAGCGTACAGAGCTTTTTCTGCATTAATAACTTTAGTGTTGAATAGACAAGAATGGTGCATTGTATGTCTAAAAAGAAAAAGGTATGGCCAGTGCATATTCAGAGTGACAACCCTTCATCATTGTGGTGAACACACCTTTCTTTACAGATAGCAAGTGACTATAGAGGGTTTTTTTTAGAGTTATACAAACCATCCAACAACACAAGAGATATCTTTGCAAATTGTTATTTCTGAACAAAAAAATGCTGCAGTGTTTATAAAAGCTTTGTGCTAAGGACCACGTCACACCAAGGGTCGTTAACAGAGAACCCCACTGCTCCTTTGGTGATTCAACCTCACTGGCTAGACCAAGGGTAGGCAACCTTTGAGAGGTGGAGATCCCCATATGGCTGAAAAAATATATTTGAAATATATTTTAAAAATATTCTTCCCAAATATATTAACATACATTTGAAATGCTACAATTTTGGCCATGTTCAGTGTATGTCAAAATATATTTCAAGAAATATTTTATATATATATATTATATATATATTATATATTATACATACATATACACTGCATGTTGAAATGCACTTTTATTACAAAATATATGAAAAAATATTTTTTAAAAATACATTTCAAATATACTGTATGTCTTTAAAATACAAATCTACATTTTTGGAATGCATTTACAAATATATGTCAAAAATATATGCTAAAAATTATTTTATATTAAAAAAAATCTGAAGAATATATTTTGAAAAAATATATATTTTTAAAAAATATATATTTTTTAAACATAGCGTTTTCTTCAGATTTTTTTAACATATAAAAAGTCATTTTAACATATTTTTACATATGTTTGTAATTTCATTCCAAAAATGTAGATTTGTATTTTTAACCGCCTCTCGTCCGCCATATAAGGAAATAATGGACACAAGGCGGTTCTCTCATTCTGAGAGGATGTCATATGACGTCTTCCCACATGTTTTGTAACCGTGCGTGCTCACCCCAGGGGGGTGCAGCGCGGCGATCGGTAGTTCGCTGCTTCCCTTGGACTCTTGTAGTAGGAGATGATCATGTACACGATCAACGAAAAGAGCCGGAGACAAAATCGAAAAAATATTTTCTGTCATGTGATCAGTTGTGTCCAATCACAGCTGATCGCATATAAATAAGGAAATGCCGATTATCTGCTGACATTTGTCCAAACACACTGCTCGCATCAAAAATAAGGAAATGCCGATAATCTGCTGACAGCTCATGAGGAAAGGAGAGCTGGTAATCGGCATTCGTCAGAGGGGGACATCTACACTGATCATCAGGGCACTGATGATAAGTGTGCCCTGATGATTAGTGTAGCACCATCAGTGCCACCTGTCAGTGTCCATTAATGCCACATTTCAGTGTCCATCAGCGCACATCAATGCCACATATCAGTGCCTACCAGTGCACATCAATGCCACATATCAGTGCCCATCTGAGCTGCCTTTCAGTGCCACCTATCAATGCCAGTCAGTGCCGCCTATCAGTGCCAGTCAGCACTGCCTATCAGTGCACATCAGTGCCGCCTATCAGTGCCAGTCAGTGCTGCCTATCAGTGCATGTCAGTGCTGCCTATCAGTGCCACCTAATAGTGCCAGCCAGTGCCACTTAATAGTGTCAGTCAGTGCCACCTATCAGTGCCAGTCAGTGCCGCCTATCAGTGCCGCCCATCAGTGCCATATATAAGTGCTGCCTTTCAGTGCCTATCAGTGATGCCTGTCAACGCCCCCATCAGTGCCACCAATAGATTCCTCCATCAAAAATGGACCCCCAAAACAAAATACCACCCTAGCAACAATAGATCAATAGACAACACAATAGACTCCCCCCTCAATAGTAGATCCCTTTCAGCAACTAGTGACCCCCATCAACAATAGATCCCCCACCAGCAACAATAGACCTCCCCAGCAAAAATAGACCAGCACACAAAAATAGATCGCCTTCAGTGACAACAGATCCCCAAGCAGTCAGCAACAATAAATCCTCCAGCACACCCCAGCACCCCTTGCCATTACATGCATTCAGTGCTGAAGGTGCCAGAACATTCCCCCGCATTACCGCTGAAAAAAAGCCCTGGTCCTATCCCTTCCCAGCAGCATATACTACCCCCCCGTTCCTTCACTCCTCTGCAGCTCTATCCATCTGCCATCAGTTATGAAAAAAGCCTGATGCATTCAGGTATGGAGGAGTTTGTGATTCATTCCATATGACACTGGGCCAAGCATCAGGGATATCACATGGTAAAAGTCCATAACACAGTGTGGCTGAAGGTGGCTGGAGAGTGAAAGAAAGTTATGGGGGGGGGGGGGGGGGTAGGAGGATGGTGAACTAGAACTGGTTACTTTACCCTGCATGGATAAAGCACAGGTTCTCTTTAAGTGTCTAGACTCAGGTATAGAGTTCATCCATTTTTAATTTAAGGTTCGTCAATCTAGGACTATAATCTAAATTTAGACCTTTACAGACGACAGCATCTAAGCAAAATGAGAATACTTAAAAGCATCCTTTGGATGTCCAGGCTCAGAACGCAGAAATGAGATAGACAGCTGGATAAACAATGGTCGGGCGTATGCACAATACGATTCTTTGCAGTAGCTTTTTCAGCAGCAAAGATATACAAGCAACTGACACACAGGTAATAGCACAGAAATAACAAAGAATATGAAACTCTGAAAAGGTTTGTATACCCTCTAAAACCAACGATGTCTTCAAAGCACCGAAAAATTGAAAATAAAAGGTATTTCAAAGGAACACTACACAAAGCATCTTTAAACTTTTAAAAAAAAAAGATTGGTTGATAGTTTGTTGGTCTACTAACGTGAACCTGTACTAAGCAAGCTACTCTATGGACCCCATATGAGGATCTACTTATATTTTACTCCGTATCCTGATCAAATGATCCACAATTAGAGCCTGTAAAAATACTTGGTACTTCTGCGTGGCACATTCCCTGCCTTCCTATAATGCAATGCTTTGTGCCTAAGTGGTCAATAGCCAGAGAACTGACACATGGAACCACACAGTTCCTGCAAAATTCAAAGTTAATACTTATGCAGAATTTCAAGGATCAGGTTGGGAGGAATAGAGGGGTAAAACCAGCTTCCAAATTCTTATTCTCTCTCTTGTGGTTAGGATGTAAAACCCCAGGGCACACTGCCCTCCCCCAGGAGTGGGGGAGCAGGAGCACAGCAGATGATGTTGCCTCTTTCTCTTGCTCTACGGTCTGACCCACCTCCCTTTCTGACCCTGCCTAGACTCCCAGTCTTCTCTAAGGAACAGGAG